TGTGTGTGTGTGTGTGTGTGTGTGTGTGTGTGTGTGGTTGTGTGTGTGTGTGTGTGTGTGTGTGTGTGTGTGTGTGTGTGTGAACAAGCAGCTGTGGGGAAGAGCGAGGATTAGTTCAGCTCCCACCGGACTGATGGACAATCTGTAGACACTCATTAGTCATTAGTTTAAAACAGAGAGTCTAAGTGCGGTCACACTAAACTTTAAGTGTGCAAAACGAGTTCAAAACACGCAACAAATATGGCCGACAGAATGTGCTCTTTAGTTGCTGTTGTGAATTAAAATAAACTATAAATGATACCAAATATTAACAATGAGGATGTAAGATATATCATTAACCTATAGTATAATAAATCAATGTTAATTAAATAATTTATCTGCAAGTAGATATGCAATTGTGTATTGTGTAGTACTTCCCTTTTTATGTATTTATTTATTTATTTATTTATTCACTTAAAGGTTCATCTTTTAAAATGTTAGAAATGTAAAAATTCTGCTAAATGATCTTGACATAATTATGCTTTTTTTTGTACTGTGCACTATATTGCAGTGATGCCATTTACTTGTAGTATTTTAATGTTGGGTTTTAGTTTTTAGTGTTGCATTATTTTAATTTATTGTATAGTTTTGTTTATTTACTTAGACAAAATGATTTATTTGGATTTAATTTTGTTTATCAGTCACACTGTGAAATCGAATCTCCAAACGAATTTCAATTCTTCATATCGTGCTATACAATTTTGTAATGCTTAAATTTTCACTTTTATGTACTTTAAGATCTAATTTTAGCTTTTACTGTATTTTTCTTCATTTATTTAGACAAAATGGTCAATTTAAAATAAGTTTTTAGTGTTTTATTTTTCATTAACTTTGATATATAACTTTTCTATATATATATATATATATATATATATATATATATATATATATATATATATATATATGATTCATATATATACATATATATATGAATGTGTGTTTGTGAAAGAGAGTGTGTATTTGCATGTCAGAATACAGAAAATTTGTACTTTTGCACTTCTTCTTGACAGCACTTGCATGCATATAAATGTGTCTAGTTTGGCTGTACCTTTAAGACTGTTTCCTAATTTGCATACTACCTGCCCTAAATAATTTGCAAGATTACTATATCTCAGTACTGTATTTATTCGAAAGTATGCATTTTCAAATCAAAGTAAGGACCTTTTGGCAGTAATACAAGTATGCTAATTGATATTTAGCCTATGCAACACATTAAGTCTCCCTTAGTATATCACTTGACGATGCAGTGTAAAAGAGATTTCAGAAATATGCAGCATTTGGATTATATATGTCATGCATCTGAACCAGCTTTTAGCATAAGCAGAGTGGCCGTCTCTTGAGCGATGGCCCAGAAGACTCAGCGAGAAGGAGACCACCTGTTCTTATCCACTGTCTTTAATTGAATAACAGCGCAATCAGGATCCATTTACGCCGAGCAATTAGACCCTGCCTTGTTTGCCGTGAACGCTGGTCACGTGATGAGATCTCGTTACTGGAGTCGTGTTTCCGCAGGACTCCACGTCTCAGTAATTTTCTGAGATGTCACGCGCCTCACGCTGTTGGCAGAGAGAAGACGCTGGTCATTTCAGAAGCTGACACTCTGAGCCCTTGCCGTCACCTCCGTGCCCTCTATCAAGATGCTAATGAGTTAACATTCAACACCTCCCACCAATCACACGAGACGAGCTGACGAAGTCATTACAGACGTGTTGCTGTGGAAGTGTGCCATTGTGTTTGCGTGAGTATAATTGACCGTTCTGATTAGTTATTAACTAAAGTATCAGGTGTGTGACAATTTACAAGCCTGAGATTCATTCAAGGACACGACGACAAGGACAAATTACTACAGAATGGGAGCAGAAAGAAATGTGCCAATATATGAAAAGATGCATACACCCATACTTTAAACATATTTATAGCAGGCTGTGCAATAAATGTTATAGAATTAATTTCATTAATTATAATAATAATTTCATTAAAAAATTAATTATTATTTATTTTTAAATGTCCAATATTCAATATATTTAGAATCTGGTACAGTGACACAATAATATCTAATAATAATAATAATAATAATAATAATGAATTTAATTAATTATAATAATAATTTCATTAAAAATAAATTATTATTTATTTTTAAATGTCCAATATTCAATATATTTAGAATTTGGCACAGTGAAACAATAATATCTACAATAACAGATTATTATTATTATTATTATTATTATTATTATTATTATTATTATTACAAATAATAATAATAATAATAATATTGCCGTTTCCCAACAACTAATATTTACAAATAAATGATTGTCGACATTGACACAATAACAACTACAACAACATAACATTATTATTATTATTATTATTGTTGATGTTGTTGAATTTGTGTGGCTATTCGTTTATACACTGAAACTTAAGATAGTCATAGAATCAACCATAGTAAGACCTTTTTTTGTTTTTTTTCATAAACCAGCATCAAATTAGGTCTGAATGCGGTGCAATTTTACTGCTTATAAACAGCTCTCTGCAAATCCCTTTATAGTCGTCACTGACTTGATTAGAACACTTTTTCATTCATTTGCACCTTCCTTTTATCATTTAGCATTTCTTACCACAGCTGACCTTGGCTGTTGAGAATGACCAATAATATGGATGAGCTTTTAGTCAGATTGGGTGAAGCAGTTTAGACGAATTGACTTGGCCGGATTGAGGCTTTTCTTGTTGCAATAAAGCTGCCTAATTTATTTGCCGCCATGCCCCGCGTCCCCTTTGTCCTTCTGGAGGGGAGCAGAGTGTTTAGCAGTGTCCCATTCTGTTCTTTCTATGGCCTTATACAGAATCTGAGCTTCTGTAGCTTTGCTTTCATTATTCAGCTGGAGAATGTGGTTATAGAAGTCCCACATGTGTTCAAGAAGAACCCACTCGAGAGAGAGCCACACTGTCAATACGTCCTTGAGGAATGACGAAAAACCAGTTTAAATGGATGGTACATGCTGGGGAATAAAAGTCAACTTCTGCATAGACACCTTGAGGGAATATGATTCTCAAGATATGAGAGAAATCTGAAAGATGCAGAGGATTACGGGCAAGAGCTACTTGAAAACACAACAGGTCAGTCTTAAAGGAGCTGTTCATCCAAAAATGAAAATTCACCCTCAGGTCATCTAAGATGTAGATTACTTTTTTTCTTCAATAGAAATGTAAAGATGATTTTTAGCTGAAACCGTGGTCCTTTGTGATTCATAAAATGCAAGTCAATGGATTACAGGTAATAATGTTGTAAATAGTGTTCAGTTTCTTGCACAGACCGATCGTTTCACTTCATAAGACCTCAATATATCGTCAGGAGACACGGGGATTAATTTTGTGTTGCCTGTATATGCTTTCTTTACTCTAAAAGTGCCGGTCACCATTGACTTGCATTTTATGAATCACCAATGAGGCATGGTTTCAGCTAAAAATATTCTGTACTTTTCTACTGAAGAAAAAGTGTCACCTATGGTCAAAATTCTATTTATCTATCAATCTAGGTGTATTTTAGAAACAAAACGACTAAAACTTTACAATTAAAAATAAAACAAAAAAATTATTCAAAATATTATATTTATTTTATTTTATTTATTTATATTTATTACTAAAAATAGAACACTAATTTCATTCTATAAAAATACTGCAAATATAAAGTTAACTAAAAAACATTTTTGTTACTTAAATAAAACGTTAACTGAGATCAAATAAAACATGTCTGTCATCTTGTTTTCATTTCCCCTAGTCAACATTTCTTATTTTCATTTAGTTTACCTTGATGTACTAAAACAAACAAACAAACAAACAAACACATAAATACTGCTACTAAAATAATATATCGTTGGATGGCCTGAGGTAGAATAAATAAACAGCAAATTTTCATTTTTGGGTAAACTATCCCTTTAAGAACAACACTGCAAGAAAGGAAAATATTAAAAAACACAGTCTATGGAACGAGTTGACAAGAACAAAATGAATTCAGTGAAGACAATGTGGCTTTGTAGAGCTTTACCTTCTGTCTCTGGCACTGAAAGCCACCACGTGGATTCCTAGCGGCCCACCGCCATTGGACACCTCAACCGGCGTCAACATTTCACTAGGGGACATTGACAAATGAGGGCAATGAGAGGAGAAACAAAACAGGAGAACCAAGTAAACAAAGAAAAGGCAATACATAAAAAAGTTTCGAGCATGACAGAGCAGCTATGAGCAGCTATGAGCTGGAAGCTAAGGCTAGTTTAGATCCAGCCCAGCACGAGTCCATCTATAACCCCAGGGGCCATTAAGACACACGGGTCGATGGAGGACCCAAACAGACACTTCAATTAAGTGATTAGGATCAGATTGAGACCTGCAGTGGGCCGGTTCTGGGATTTTAACAGTCAGGGAGTGCACACTACACCTGTGAGAGAGAAACATATGGCAAGAACGCATGGGATAAAGAGAGGACAACAAACATCAGTAAAAAAGATGAGCGCATGAAGTGATGCGGTGCTGCGGTCTGCTAAACTGACATCTTTTCCAGACAGTTGAAGGCTAGATCACCCAAAAATTGAATTGTACAATAATAAATAAAACTGAAAACAAAACAATATTACTAAAATGGTAACTGAAATGATCATTAAAGTGGAAAAATAAAAATAAAAACAGTAGAATATTCTTAGTAGATAGTAATACTATCAAAATTATAGTATATATCTGCCATTGGTCAGCAAAAAATGATAGCTCCGCCCCAAACTCTTGCCATTGGATGAGCTGTTGCTGTTGAGAGACACACTTTTTAATTAACCTATAAATGTTAAAATATGATACAAAAACTATAAAACAAGTATACTTAGACTTCAATCTGTTCTAAAAATATATCATATTGTTAGTTGTGTGGACTACTTTTAAAATACTTTTTGTTGCTTGACAGCCACTGATCACAGTTTTCCAATGCATGGAAAAATGCAGCCTGTACATTTTCCTAAATATCTCATTTTGTGTTCAGTAGCTTTTTATTTTTTCCGAGTGAACTCCCTGAGATGATTTGTTAGATGCTGTTGGTTGTGAGAAAGACAAAGCATTCCTGTGAGGACTCACTCGAGTGAAGCTGATTCCACACAGGAGTCGGCCCTTCCCACCGGCTCTATCCTGCCGTTCCTCCCGCTGTCTGCTCTCTCCTCGTCTTCTTCTTCTTCTTCCTGTGGAGCACCAAAGAAACACACTGTGAGTCAATGGTTCTAAATTTATTATTTTTTGTGACATTACTATACAATTTCATTATGGGGAAAACAAACTCATTTAATGATAATTACATATAATTTCAGGTTATTTAACTTCGCATGATCCGGACATTTCAACTATTAAACTATTAAATTCTATGATTATTATAGGTTAAATGTTGTTTTGTCCTTATTCCCTATTTTTCCCCCCTTTGGTCCTGTCTTGTCATGTTTAAACTATAAAGTAAGCCAGGACTGCTACTGATGTCCCCTAAAAAAATAAATAAAAATAGAAACATTTTTGTCACTGACTATTATTACAAAAACATGAAAAATAAATACATATATTGAGTATTGCTGGAGTGAAAGTTTCATGAGACATGCAGCTGTGCTGGAGTGTCTCCATTCCGCTGTGAATGCTGCTGTCTGCAGCCAGAGAATGAGCTTATTAGCAGTGAGAGATAAACTGGAGCGGCGAGGGCCGTCACATCAGACCCTGAGAGCTGGTGCAGGCGGGTGAGGAGAGCAGAGAGCGGTCCCTGTCACAAAGTCACTCGCACACAACACAAAGTGTCACTTTGCCTGTGGTGGCGGCGGTAACGACGGACACAGAAAATGAGGCTGGATGCCAGACGCTCCATTGTCCGGTTCTGAACACCTGCCAGATGCCAGCTCCAATGAAAACTCCTGCATCAGCCCACCACAGGGGGAAAAGGTCATTCACTGTGCATCCCAGAGGAGAAGATCGACATCAGCCACCGCTTCATTCGGGTGCTTTAGGGCTCTGCTGATATGTGAGTGTTTGTGCGCGTTTGTGAGTTGGGTGAAGGCCAGAAGCCACTCAGTGCAGCAGTTACAGGAAGCCAGAGGTTACAAAGCTGGCGATTAGACAGACAGTGCATTAGATTATTGTTCCTGGCAGATGCAGGAGGTCGGTCATTTTGAGAGACTGCTGGCTTGTGAGGAGCTGGAGGGAGAAAGTTTTCCAGAGGGAACTCGGATTATAGGAGGAAACGGGTGATATCTCCAGAATGCTGGATGAAATGCAAACAGAGGCCTACTGATGCCTCACTGGAGGGCCTGAAGCTCCCGTCTGGGGAGACAACCAGCGTCTGACCTCCAGATCAACCAGATGAAATCAGGAAGGTGACAGTGGTGTGACATGACAGTTAGTGACAGGAGGAGAGGTTTGGCCTCTAGCATTGGGTCTAAGGTCGAATTTACACACAGAGACCACAAGAGTTTGTACTATTGCTACCTCAGTCACAGCCTCAGTTCGTCTGATGCATACTAGGGGTGTAACAGCCCAATAAAATGATGGTTCAGTACGTACCTCAGTTTTGAAGTCATGATTTTGTAAGTTTTTTATTTAATTAAACAGTTTACTGAATTCAGTTTCAATTACATTGTCTCACATTATCTCAATTACATCATGATTACATTATCTCAGCTAATGTTGCATGCTATATAGGGAGCTCTATTACTTGCACATTACTATAATATTAAAGGTTGCAATTAACAACAGACTCCAAATGATTAAATCAAATTGCAATTTATATTTAGATACAATAATCCAAAATAATGTAAACACATTAATTGCACATAAAGCAGTTTTTACATTAAAGGGTCATATGATGTTGCTAAAAAGAACATTATTTTGTGTATTTGGTGTAATGAAATGTGTTTATGCGGTTTAAGGTTAAAAAAACACATTATTTTCCACATACTGTACATTATTGTTTCTCCTCTATGCCCCGCCTTTCTGAAACGCGTCGATTTTTACAAAGCTCATCGTTCTGAAAAAGCGAGGTGTGCTGTGATTGGTCAGCTATCCAGTGCGTTGTGATTGGCCGAATACCTCAAGCGTGTGATGGAAATGTTACGCACCTACCATACTGTTGATGCCGTGTCCGGCCGGAGCGACGAGACAAAAACATGAAAACCCAGTTGTTGTAAACAGTGTTGTAAATACAACTTAACCACTGATTTCTAGCCGTGTCCATTTTTGGAAGGCCAAACAAAGTAGTTTCGCTTTCACAACGAAACACAGCGTCACACACGGCGGCCTAGAGTGAGCAGAGGCCGGGGGCTAGCGTGAGGAACGGCCGGAGGGCTGAGTGAGCAGAGGCAGCGGATTCGACAAAGGAGCGTACGGAGGGCTTGCGGCAACCACATGTGACGACCCCGGGCTGGACTCCGCTTCGTCCACGGTGAAAGCCGATCCGGCGATCCACAGCGCAAAGTTGATGTATTCCCTCAGCAACCAGCACAGATCAGCTCCAGGCATGACGAATCAGATATCGTCCTCTTTTGGAAGACCAAACAAAGTAGTTTCACTTTCACAACGAAACACACAGCGTCTTCATGACATGGCGGCGGCAACAACAATACTACAGTGAGAATAAAAGTTACGCCTTCTTTCTTTGCGTGAACATTTGGGCGGTGTTATGCAAATCTTTCCACATAGTGAGGTAGACATGTGGGGGCGTGTTTAAACGAGGCGTTTTAGGCTGACTCTTAACTCTTATAAAGAATAACTCTTTGGATTTGAGACTTTAGTCTTTGCAACTTTACAGATCTTCTTTATGCACCAAGAGCTTGTAACACTCCAAAGAGAAAGGAAAAATTGAAATTGCATCATATGACCCCTTTAACTTCTAAATTGTAAAATTAAGTTTCTACTCCAATTTTTCTTTAAATATAATCATTGACATGATGCTTGTTTTCGTGAATTGTCTAATAAAATGAACACTTTGTTTCTCATCGAAAGTACACAAAGCTTTTATTCATGCATCAATTGAAATAGCATAGACTTAAAGATCAATCTTGGGATTTAAGTATCCATATTGATTCATTAAAATAAAGATACACAAAACTATGAGTTTCAAATTAAGCTCTGCACGTGCATTAACTAAAACAACGCTGTATTTGATCAGTACACCTGCATACCGAATCAAAAGAGCATACCTAAATCATTTTTGTACAAATACATGTACTGTCACACCACTAATGCATACTGAACAGAAAAACAGCAGTTCCAGTTTCCAATCTAAGGTTAACACAATATGCACCCTATACTGGAAGAAAAGAACATTTAAAGTATCCAAAACATTAAGATGTTTGTGTTTTTCAGAGCTAGCAACTGGATTTGGCAACCATTAAAGTTTTATTTATGACACTTAGTAGCAAATTAAATGCATATTCAAGTGCAAAACTGCATATTTGATTTAGTTTTTTGTGCTCTGTTTGATAAATAATCAGTAGGCTAATAATAAGCTGCAAAGTGGAGTTTATGTGAAACTGCTACAAAAGCCAACAATTATTTTCACCAATGTTCTCAGGAATAGATGGATTTTGGAGGGAGAATATCTTAAAATCTATACGCAAGCATACAGCTTTGCGTTTTTAACCCAGAACTGACCGAAGGACTATTTTCTTGTCCAGCGTAAAGTGCTGGAAATGTGCCGTAAAAAAAAATATAAGGAAGCGGGCAATTTGTACAGAGCCTCTCAAACAATGACTATCCAAATATTTACGATGTCCAATAATAGTGACCTCACTCAAGTTCCTGACTACGTACAAAAGTCGATAATTATCTCCAGCGAAACCCCCAAAAAACAACATGGAAAAATCCAAACATAACAAATTAGACCGGCGTGAGAAATACTACAGCTGTCCAAAACTTCTCATGTCTGGTTGGAGGAACTAGTGACCCTTACGAGGAGCCGTTGCGGTCGGTAGGTGACACGTAACTAAAACCCAATGAGTTTGTTTGATGTGGAGCATTCGAGACAATAAAGAAACAGTCAAATCAAGGTTCAAGAGCCAAAGCGTACTCAAAAAGTAGGCGTTCTAAAAAAAAATGGAGATGAAAGGCCCTACTGCGGGCGCCACAATGCGCCATTATAGAACGTCTGTCCCTCAGAGGCAACTCCTATTACCTCAATTAGACTTTTAAAAGAATTAGACTGAGTTAATTGAACGTGACTTGGGTTTTTCACATCTTTCTCTCAAACACAGGGTCATTTCATCCCACCGTAAAACAAAATCTCCATTACAGCAGTCAATGGATCACACTACTCATCATTTTCGAGACGCTTATTTGTATTTGTGTTGGGGAAACAAACGCTAAAAGGACCTAAATGATGACTAAAGTCATTACCGGACATAAAGCTGAGCCACTACTGTAATCTACTTAAACGAACACTATCCCACTGCGCTTGGTTTGTGCCACTGTTTATTTGGAGTGTCAAATGAAAAAATATAGCCCATTTGGTATAGACATTTCATACACTTATCATGTCACAGGAGATATTAACAGGCAACTGTAAATCCATTAATGCACGCCTGTAATCAGGCCTCGTAATAGGTCTGTCATCTTGCGCATTGATTGAATCTTAGATTAACTTGTTTTTCATCCGAGTATTTTTCATGTCTTCAATACGGATGAAATAATCTACCCATCAATACAAACAAACATCAGCAAAGCAACAAAGAGAAGCTATAATTGCAAAAATTAATCTACATTTCTCATTGTTTAAAAGAAAGACTTGTTGACTGGAAGCAAATTGAATTTAATTGATTTTTACTACAAAGCACTGCGACCAGTGTTGGGGAAAGTTACTTTTAAAAGTAATACATTACAATATTGTGTTACTCCCTAAAAAGTATCTAATAGCATTACTTAGATACTTTTTATTGAAAGTGATGCATTACATTACTTTTATGTTACTTTTTACTCATTTATGCTGGGCTTGCTTGTTTGTTTTTAATATAGAAAGTTATATTTTTGCAAAGTTACTTTCAAAAGTAATGCATTACAATTTGGTGATACTTCCTTAAAAAGTAATTGTGTTACGTTTTTGTGGAAAGTAATATTACATTACTTTTGTGTAATTTTTTTTTTTCACCTGGGCTGCTTGTTTGTTTTTAATATTAAAAAGTTATATATTTTTTTAGAAAATGTAAAAGCCATTTTA